ATGTTGAACTCTACACTGACGAAGAAGGAGGAGCACCGATACGTTTTCTTGTTTTGGCGATTTCCTGGCTGCTGTGGCCGATAGCAAGTCCAAGTGAAGCCTTTTCCAGATGCGGTGGGTGACGGCGTCTGTGGACCGAATTCAATTTTGGGGAAAACTGCTTCCAATGCGGGAAAGGTAAAGGTGGCTTACTGGACCCACTTTACCACGGCTGGAAGAGAAGAAATCAGCAAGCACAAAGAAGTTTAAGGCCGTAGATTTAGGGTGCAGGGTGAGTGCTTGTGTGGGGTTCTCCTTTAGTGGAAGTTGTCGACAATCAGCGGCCGATGAGAGCGTTGCAGACCCCAGATGTTTCGGTGCCAACGGTCGAACGTTCTCCCGGCCGGATACGGTGGTTGACGGAGCTGAAATGGTAGAAAGCTGTGTTGGCGATTGTCGATGGAGGAAGGTCTGCACAAGTGAAATATGGTTGGCCAATTTTTGTGTGGTAGGTGGGTTGTCTTATCACGCCACAGTTGATGCAGGGTAGGAAAGGAAAAAGAAAACAATTGGACAGTTGGCTAATTGTTAATTTTGGACCGTTGCAAATATAACGGTCCAATTTTGAATTATAATAAGGATTTTAGCTGGCCCAGACAGGGCCTTAAAGTGAAAATTAGAAGATTTGACCATGCCAATTTTAAAAATACCCCCATTGAGAATAAAAATGACCAAAAATCCATCCAACCATGAAAAAGACCCAAGCCCTCATGACCCGATCTATGTAATTGAACCAAAATGAAATCTAGCTCTTCTATCCATTCACCCGTTCTCTGTCTAGGCTTAAAATTCTAAATTCTCCATCTACATCTTCGTCATCGGCTGGGCTGCTCCTGCTACTGCTCCTACATCCGCCGAAATACCGTCATCAGTGTCAATCGCCAATTTGTAGCCATGTGTTGCCTGTAACTCTTTTCATTTCTGTTAAGTTGCCTCTTTATCCTGTCAGATTCTCACTCAATCCAGTTTCTTCGTTGTTCTTAATTTTTTTTCTTGATTTACTTCGACGTGCTTCTTCCATTGTTTATAAATCTTAGCATTTTATTATTATTATTAAAAAGAATGGTCTCCATCTGTACAAGAACTATTTTCTGTTTTTAGTTTCTTGACATCCCTAAATTTTGCTGTTACAGTCGTTTATTAATCGCTGGGATTAATTCAGTGTCTATTTATTCAGTAGAATTTAAAGCTGTATTATTTAAGGAAAGTCTTGGCTTTGCTATAGTGATTGGTGTTACTATGAACTCGTGAAGCTTTATTTAGGATTAAAAATTGAAGATACTTGGTTGATTTAACTACTTTCTTATTGAAATAGTTTAAACTTTTAACACTTGGGGGGGACTGAAAAATGAGAATTACCTAGTATTCTAATGTACGTTGATTTCCCAAACATGGTGACGGATTAAATTAGTATCAAGATTAAATTAATCCGATGTACTTATCCTCCTTTATTCACTTATATGTAAACAAAATACTTATAAATAAAAAATTCCCTTACGAGTACGAAAATATTTTTAGTAAAAAACTTTGAAAACAATCTAATTAAAAAATATTTTCACAGTTTTTTTTTTTATTGTTAATAAAAAATTGACGTGTATAAATTATATATTAATAACATATCTTTTAAGTATATTAAATTGAACATAATTTCAACTTACTAAAATCGAATACGAGAACTAAAAATGAAAAATGCATGAATATGAATTTGATTGAGGTAAAAGTTGAACTATTTGTCCTTAAAACGATTATGTCCCGCATGGGTATTAATGATTTTTCGACATTCGTTTCTTTAGATACAACGATCATGTTCTGCAATAAGAAAAATCTAAATTACATAAACCAACAAATTTTGCTAATTTTTTGAACTCTATTTTATAAAATTCTATTTAAATTAAATGAACAAATGAATATGCATCAACATGATATGAAACTTATGAATTGAATGAATTAATTCCAATCACATTGGGTCAATATATAGTTGTCCCAAAGTTGTAATTCAAAAATAAAAATGCATGTCTAAAACCACATGTCTAGTTTAAAAATACATGTCTCTACAACAAAAGAAACTTTTGGAATTATCATTTCAAAAAAAGATACAACTTTTCCTCCAAATAATTTTAGAATATTCCATAATATTCTATATAATTTTCAGAAATTTTATGTATTTAAGTGACTTAAATTTGACTTAATTTCTCATTCATAAATAACGATTTTTACTTAAATAATCATTTAAAATTGGTTAAAACCAAATTTCTTACTAATTTCAAACAATTTTCATGAAATTGAACAGAATTTTGACTTATCGAAATCGAATACGAAAAGTAGAAATGAGAAATGCATGAATATGAATTTGGTCAAGATAAGAGTTGAACTCTTATTTTTAAAACTAATATGCCCTTCACGAGTGCTAACAGTTTTCTGGCATTTGCTTCCCAAAATACAACGACCACGCCCCCACAATAGGAGCACTCCAAATTAAATAAACCAACGAACCTTTCTAATATTTTGAACTCTCTTTTATGTAATGATAGTCAAATTAAATGAACAAATGAATATACATCAACATGTTATCCAATTTATGAGTTGAATTAATTAATTCCAATCACATAAGGTCAATATATAATGGTCCAAAAGTTGTGAATCAAAAAACACAACTAAATGAAAAGGAATGTCTAAAAATACATGTCTTGTTGAAAAATGCAGGTCAAAAGAGAAATATCTCTACCGCAAAAGAATATGACTTTTGGAAGTTATCATTTCCAAGAAGAAACAACTTTTCATCTAAATAATTTTAGAATATTCCATAATACTCTATAATTTCCAACAATTTCACTTATTTAAGTGGAAATTCCTATTTGGTTAATGAAGAATTTCCAAAAAGACACAACTTTTCATCTGGATAATTTTAGAATATTCCATAATAA